ATATGTTTACATATTTACACACTCGCACACGCTATACACACTTTGAAGCACACTTAGAAGATTTCTAGACTGTGGTAGTCATTGAAGCAGTCGACAGCACATAATGGGATACCACACGTTTCACACCATGTTTGCACAAGCTTCCGTTTCTTGTCTCTACGTGTCGTTGTTTTACACACCAAGCAATCACGTTGGGCTATTGCACGCTTCACACCAGGTGGCAAATACTTAAGTTTGTGTGCTAGGAAGCCTTCAGTGTGAGCGAGGCGTGGAGTACCAGCATGCTGCAACAGTGGGTTTATGATGGGCCGCTGAATACCTGGGACATCTTTTGCAAACTTTCCTAATAACTGTATTGCAGCATCAAATACAAAGTCACGGAAAGTGGGCTTACGTCCAGTTCTCACAAGGTACATGTTGAAACAGTTCAGCATGCTCATGTCCACAAGATGGAAGAACACTTTTTTCGTCCACCTACATGTCTTCCGCACACACTCTGCAGTGCCAATCATCATGTCTGATTTATCAATCAACCGCATGTTGATATTATAGTCTAAAACACAGTCTGGCTTATATAGTGGTGCGTTTGTTTTATGGCTCACTTTCCCACTGTTCACCATTGTTCCATCATGAATTGTTGTCAACAAGTTCACCTCTCTTTTGTCTTTCCACCGAACTGACAGAATGTTATCACTTTTCCTTCTCTGACACTCACCAACTGCAATGTCGTTGTCAAACACAGGCATTTCCCTTCGTTGTGGCTTTACTGTACCAACCAATCCGGTTCTATTTTCTAGCAAGAACCGAGCTAGCAAGGGACTTGTATAGTAATTATCTGTGTATAAAATGTGTCCCTTGTTCATCCACGGAGCCATGATGGTCTTCACTACACTCCCCGAGAATCCATGTTCGTCGTTACCGGGAATGTCTACATCACTAGCCGAGTACAGAATCATGTGTAACACGTATCCTGTCTCACAATCACAAAGAACAAAAAATTTCAGGCCAAATCGGTTTCGTTTTGAGGGAATGTACTGTTTGAATGGAACACGTCCCTTGAAAAGTATGAGAGATTCATCAACCACCAGCTTCTGTGCTGGTACGTAAAAATCTCTGAATTTTCCAATAACATCGTTCATGTAGTGCCTCACTCGCCACAGTCTATCATCAGGTGTTCGGTCCTGAACACTTCCAAAATGTAGACACCTGAGGAGTATCTGAAACCTGTCTCGTGACATATATTTCCCGAATAAAGGTGTTGGTATTGTCTTGTCCTTGCTCCAATAGTCATTTATTGCATGTTTGTGACAGTGCTTCATCAACAAACAGAGTGCCAAAAACACATACATTTCCGCCACTGTGGTATTTTTCCAACGCTGCAGTCGTGAAAATTCTGTGATTTCCCTCTCAATCAGGTAAGCAGCATGCAGGTTCGTTTGGTGTACAATGTATTCCATGAGTGGTTCATCATAGAATGCTGTAAAATATTCCATCTCAGCCATGTCCTCACCTTGATTAGGGAAAAGGTTTGTAATCCCTACATCTTTATCGTCAAAGTGAGGAATATTAGGAATAAAATCGTCACCATCACTCCACTCAAGTACACCAGGCGTCCTGCGAGATGCAGAGGAAAGACGGCGAGGAAGCGATGCATACCGGCGACCAGGAGCTGAATACCGTCTGCGAGAAGCACGGCGGCTACGTGCACGTGAGGTGGGTGCACGTGAGGTGGGTGCACGTGAACACGAGGGTCTTGGTCCCTCATGTGGTGCCATGCGGTGGCGCTTGGCCGGGCGAGATGCTGCTGACGCGACAATTTCTCGCCCAGTTACACCACTGGTACCAGCCACAGGCTCAATAAAACTTTGATCTGAGTCACTAAACCCAGAAAAGGAGTCACCTCCCTCTGACTCGTCACCCTCAAACAGAAAATATCCACAGGAACTGTGAGGTCGTGGTAGAATTGGGGTAGAAAATGGGCGAGGAGGCATGGGAGAGCGTATAGGCCTCGCCATGGCATGGCGGTCATTCTCACTTTCACTGCTGCTGCTACTATCACCCGACAACTGTGTATAATCCTCATCGTTGTCTGAATCGTCAAACACACTTTCTTCACCTTCAGAGAATAATTCGTGGGCTATTTGCTCTGGGGTGAGGGACTGAGTGGTGCGTGCCCGTGAGGCGTTTGACCGTGCGCTCGCCATGGTGACTCTCGCTAAACTGAGGCCTCCCATGCCATCGGATCGTGAGCTGGATTTTTTTTCAAAATGGCCGCTGTTTACTAGAGCCCCTGGGCAGCGTATGGGACCCCCAGCTACACCGCGGGCCATTCAAATCGTGCGCGGTACCCATACACTTCATATGAAGTGAAGCGCAGTTGACTGGTAAAACGATTTACACTTCATATGAAGTGATGCGCACTTTAAGGGTTAACAACTTGATGCAAGTCCAATACAGACCGAAACATCACTTTCCTTTCATTTCGCATGCTTGTGGGGCGGGTTATTTATTTTCAGTCACATTATTGTGACTTAGTCTCTGCCTATCATATATACTTTAGATATTGTAGATGGAATTAGCTTAAACTATCTCATCTATATCATTCTATTTTCCAACAACAGTATCCTTATGTGAAAAAAATGCTCTAGCATTTATATGGCTTATCTGTTTCTAGATTCCAGCTTTACTACCTTAGTTTTAAACCTACACTTAGTCTATTCCCTTAATTATTTCATGTCTCATCATGTAAACTGCATCTCTCCTCTCTTCTAATGGTTTGTGTCCAGCTATTTACATCTTTCTTCATACCAGCTAGTTTACACCAATTCTTCCTACTCTGAGAGAGAACTCTATCAACATCAGAGGCCCGAGACTATTCAACACGCTTCCACTACACATAAGGGGCATAACTGGCCAACTCCTCACAGTATTCAAGAGAGAACTTGATAAACACCTCCAAAGGATATCTGATCAACCAGGCTGTGATTCATATGTTGTTCCCTTTCATTATGCACCATCCTGTTGGTCTGCCATTTCATTCCCCATGTTCATCAACCTACACTTGCTAGAATTGAAATGCACGTCACTGAGAAATATACGCTACAGGTATATACAATGAAAGCAGGGTCTGGAATTTGAGTGAGGATCATTGTTGCCCAAATGGAGGACAGAAATGAGGGGGGGGAGGGCGAGAAGATGCTTCTGGTGAATATAAGTGAAGTACTCAATTAGTGGAAGAAGAAATAAGAGCATGTGATGAATAAAGTGATGAAAACAGGTGTGTGTGTGTGTGTGTATTTAATATACAGTAGGTGTAACAAATATATCAATATATCTTATAGGTGTGAATTTACTTGTGCCTAAATGTACATAGTGTAATAATGATTATCAACGGAGAACTTCTGGATTACATAGCAAAATTATGAATAATCAAACATAGATGTAGACAGTGACGATTCCTGAACAGGGTAAAAAAAATATTTAATTACTTTTAGTACGACATGTGTTTGTGGAAAGAGTAACAATGGTACAATAATTAATTGAAAAATATGGTGAAATAAGAATACAGTATACATTAATGAAAGCAGTTCACGAAAAGGCAACAGTGAAAGACAAAATTTAGTACTGGGAAATATTGAGACAGAAAAGCAACAATTTTGGCGAGAATAAAGTCGATACATTTTTAAGAACAATTAGATGTCCCTGAATCTGGAGAAGTGAGAATGTCAAAAGATAATCAGGAAGATGATTAAATTACATAACAAAATATAAAAAAAGGGAAGTAAGATTGAAGAAGGATAGTTACAGAAAAAAGTAAATGACAGCCTGACAGATAATCTCTCTGGCACCGTAACAAGGTCAAATGAAAATACTATACTGTAAAAATGCACCAATTGGCGAGCAAACTGCTAGAGAAATGTTAAGGCAGCATTGCTGATAAGCCACTTGGCAGAGGAGAGTGATGATTTATGGCAGGCGAGAAGTCCAACATTTTTTAGTTTATGGTTACTACATAGTGTGTGTCAATGAAAACAATGGCCAAACATTCGGCAATGTTGCATGCAATACCATTTTTGTCACTGTTCATTAGTTGCTGGTCTAGCAGATGCATGCCAATAGCAAAAGTAGTTATGTGCTTTGACGCTCTAAGTACTTACGTCACTGTGTGGTCATAAACCTCTTGTGCAGTGAGTGCTGAGGCACGTGTGATAACGTCACAGCAATTTTTTAAATTGTGATGGTGCATTTCTATCCAGTATATGCATAATTGTAGGGCTTACTTCAGAGTTGGAAAACAAACACAGTTTTCACTCATCTTAAAAAAGAAACAAAGAGATTGAAACAGGAGAAGACTAATATATAATGAAAGTATATTGTATGACCAAATCTGCTGCAGGCATAGGTCACCCCACTCAATGTGGAGAAATGATTTATAGATGTGAAACACTTGATTCCTAGGAGAGTATAAATCTAAATCTCTAAATTAGTTTTCTACTAATTAAGTAGAAAACAATGAACTGAGTGATGATTAGTGATGCAAGACAAATACTGAAAATGGAGTAAGAAAGGATAGAATGTAGATGGACTGAACAAAGCAGAAAAATATAAATGGTATAATAACAAACTGGATAAGCAGGGTGAGAAAAGACTGGCAAATAAGAGTTAACATAGTACAGAGTCAACAACACAGTACGGTACATAGTTGTGAAAGCACAAGAGTAGTTGAAGAGACTGTGCCTGCAACCCTACTGCTTAGTGGTGTACTCAGTATATGTAAACATATATAGTACAGCACCCAGTCATCTCTTTAATTTTACATGCTTGAAAAAATAAATTGAAATCATTAACTTCTGCAACATTCATATCTTTCCTAATTTTAACTTCATTTTCATTTGGTTACACAGAACAGACAAGCATAATAAAAACCTCATAGATCCATATTTCAATTTTGAAAGAGAGGCATTAAACCTAAGAATGAACTAAATACAAACAAATCTTACTTTTTCCACTGAATCTGGGTTAGTTAAAAATCTCTCCATCTGCTCTGGGGAAGCATAAATGATTCCATGTTCTGTAGCCTCCCAAGTCCTAGTGTCTGTATCAACCTGGTACAGCAGACCAACAAGTCCAAAGGTGAAGGCTATGAAGACCTGAGCCTGTGAAGAAACAATAACTTAATTTGTCTTGCTGAAAGAATAACTTGCCCGAAACGCTGTTCATAGTAGTGGCTTTAGGCATTGTATGTACTAGCTCTATCTAAAAATCCAGCATTATGTTTGTAACTCATCTTTTATGTATATACTTTTACCTGAATAAACATTTAATTTGATTTGAATTGAATTTACTGTACTGAAATCGAAATTAAATCTAATTACTGGAAGTAATGTATCAAATTCAAAATGAAAGAAATGGTGATCACATTTCCATTTACATATACACACACACCACATTCAGTCAAGTACAGAGAAACACAAAAGCTATAAATTGTAACCACAACCTATACTTTAATTCTTGTATAAATAAAATAAAATTAAAATACTGGAACTTATGTCCAAATACTGGAACTGGTTAGATTGTAAATAAATAAACTGTATATATAAACCAAAAATGAGTCAAAATGGTAAGAGTCACGTTTCGAGTTTAGTCAAAATGCTTAGTCAAATGGTAAGTTTTTCTCTAAATGCTATTTATTTCCCTTCTCCGAGGGCATGGGTGTCCACAATTGCACCAGAGGTGGTACCCCCTATAAACAAAAATTATCTTTAATTTTTTCAGATTAGATTGGGTTAAGTTGGGATAGGATATATTAGGACAGAATAGTTCTTCAAAGAATGATGTCGACATAGACTGACATAACTTTGGCACATAAAAAAAAAAGAGCTTCGATAAGAGCTTCAGCCTCACACTCTTGGGGTCCATGGTTCAAGACTTCTAGTGCCCTGGTGAATGGAATGTAACTCTGGCACTTTTTGAACCACTGCTGCTGTATTATGATACATGACCAAGGGGGGAGCTACAGTTCTTGGATACAGTCCCCCCAGAGCTTGGAACAAATTACATAAAAGCAAGAGGTTATTACACTAATAAAAGTTACATAAAGCTGAGTGCCATAAGAATACATCTGACTAGAATAATAGTGCAAAAGTCCGTGTGGGAGAAATGTGATTTCACATAATAAATTTAGGTATCTGTTTTAAGCCAGGTTTTGACCCACACATATGATTGCATTACTAATACTATTAAAGACTAACATTCTAACAACTAACCAAGCACATACCTTGGACACCATTGTTAAATTATTTAACAAAGCTGTTAAGTGTATATGGACAGATTAATATTCGAAGGCTTCACAGCACCAGCAGTGTTGAGAGAGAATCTCCAGGCCCAGCGTGTCACTAGTCCACTAGTGTAAGGCCAAGGGGCCACAGAAAGCAGGTGAGGGGGCCACAGAGGGCAAATGAGGGGCCAGAGAGAGCAGGTGAGGGGCCAGAGAGAGCAGGTGAGGGGCCAGAGAGAGCAGGTGAGGGGCCACAGATGCTGAGACACGCAGCCGGCTGTGTTTACCTTATGAGTCGGTTGCCAGGCGAGGACAGCCGTGTCCCTGGTCGCTTACTCTTACCTGAATTTACCTGGTAAATTCGAGGGTACGAGGCCACTAATACTAGTGGACGAGGACAGGAAGCCGGCGGCTTGTCAAATATCCCCTCCCCATTTCGCCCTCATAATCTTTACCAGTTGTATTTCAAAATCCAACAGAGTTTTGGCATTTACGGCTTCGGCGAGTAAGCGGTTCCGTGGGTTTAATTAATAATAATCGTTCATTGCATTGTGTTTATAACCCTGTAGGTGAAGAAGGATCTCTTGTTCTCAGCCCTGGATTGTGGCTTGTTGAGCTTGAAACCGTTATGCATGACACATCTGCATGACATCTGACCTTTTGAAGAACTTGTCCAGATCAATATCCTCCAAATTGTTCAGTATTTTGAACGTTTCGATGAGATCAGCCCTATCATGTCTGCTTTGCAGTGCTGTTAGCCCTGTGGCCCTCAACCTGTTCTGGTATGAGAGTTGATTTGGTTCTGAAATTATTTTTGTTGCCAAGTGTTGAACTTTCTCCAATGAAACTATGGCTTAATTTCTGGAGATGAGGTCTCCATGCCTGCTTCTTTGATAATTATTACTTACTTTCCATGCCTGGATGCAATAATCCAGGTGGGGAAGCACCAGATACAATTGAATGACCAACTTCTTTTCCTGAATTAAAGTCAAAGGTACACTTGATTATTCCTAGGGTTTGGTTACCTTTTGAAACTAAAAAAAAATTAAGCTCCTACCTGTTGTGCAACTATCAGTGAATGATGGATCCTGACTCCAAGGTCCTTTTGTTCATCAATCTGCCGCAAGCTAATGCTGTTAATTTGGTAGTTGTGACATGGATTGTTATGCCCCACATGCATGGTCTTGCATCTATCGATTTTTTTTTTTTTTTTTTTTGAGACTGTATATACAAGAGTTGTTACATTCTTGTACAGCCACTAGTACGCGTAGCGTTTCGGGCAAGTCCTTAATCCTATGGTCCCTGGAATACGATCCCCTGCCGCGAAGAACCGTTTTTTCATCCAAGTACACATTTTACTGTTGCGTTAAACAGAGGCTACAGTTAAGGAATTGCGCCCAGTAAATCCTCCCTGGCCAGTATACGAACCCATGACATAGCGCTCGCGGAACGCCAGGCGAGTGTCTTACCACTACACCACGGAGACTGCTCCGATATTGGGACTGATATTAAAATACATTTGCCAGATACACAATGAAATCACATTAAAGTGATTTATTAATTGCATTTGCCAGTCTTTTGACCATTTGTGGAGTTCGTGTAGATGTCTTTGTAGTCCCTCAAAATAACTTCCCACTTTATCATAAATCTTAGTGTCATCTGAAAATTTGATGATTTTGTAATATTCTCATCTAGCTATGTCATCGATGTATATAATTTATATTACCCCATACTCCTGTTTAGATAGTACTTTTTGTAACTATGTGGACCATCGTACATACACATGAACGTAATGGACAATTAAGTAGTAGAATTTGGTACTATATTCACTTTTATAGTCCAAAAAATAAAGCTAAAAACCAAACTTAAAATTCCTAGGCCTAGTATAGCACATATTTGTACTATATTAGGCCTTAGATAGCATGTATTAAGTCTAGAAAGGTTAGGTTAAGTTTTCTTTGCAACATCAATACTAAAGCTTTTCCGGTTTGTTCAAATTTCGTAGTACCAATTTCAACTTTCAAATTGCCTTTTATGTCAATATGTACGATGGTCCTCATCGTTACTATAAGCACTGCCTAAGCAGGAGGATGAGCTGAAACTATTCACATACCATACAGCGAACAATTCAGAATGATTAATAATAATAATCCCGTTATCAGGGGAGGAGGAGGCCTGTGCGTGTTTCTCTACCTGATGGCCACCATTTCGCTAGTGGCCTCCATGAGGACAGGGAGCCGGCGGCTTTTCAAAAGTCCTTCCGTTTGTCTTCATTCTATCCAGCTGCATGTTCAATCTCAACAATTGCACTTTAGGCTTGTATCCCCCCCTTGAACTACTATGTCCGAGATCAGTCGAACTACTGACCTTCCCAGAATGCAACCTCGCAATAATTACTCAATTCCAGAGTACCTATTTACTACTAGGTGAACAAAGGCATTAGGTGAAAGGAAACGTGTCTTACTATTGGTAGTTCATACACACTATTGGCAGCTTTCCATCGCTGACCACTGGATGGGAGTGGGGTACCTGATTACGTAATTAAACAATATGTAACTGACTCACCACATATGTAAATTGCTCAATCTAGACAGTTGTGATCCAGTTCTTGAACCAGTTGTGATATAAACGACTATGGATATAACTTTTAATGCATAATTAGTTTTATCAAGATTGTAACTTGCATAGGTAAATGAATTATAGGGGTTCAATTACCAAGCTCTTGTGTCTCTAACACTTTCCACTACCGCCTACGGGACGGGTATGGGGGTGCATAACAAATGAACAAAATCAATACAAATAATTAAGAATTCTGAAATAATGAGGATTGTAAATACGAGCATGTCGTTAGCCTTAGTAACCTATAATCAAGATTGTAACTTGCTTAACTAAATGAATTATGGGGTTGAGTCCCTGAGCCCATTATGTGCTTCTAATCCTCTCCACTACCGCCCACAAGATGGGTATGGGGTGCATAATAAATGAACTAAACTTAAAAAAAAAAAACTATACATAAATACTCGTAGGCTCGAGACAGTAGTGTAGTTCTTGCTTTTGGTTTATTAGGTTTCTTTCTCTATATTTTCCATTATTCTCTCTCTTCTCTGCTGCTCTTCACATTTGAGCGGGAATAGCTTCAGAAAAGGATCGTATTAAAACGCAATTAATTTATCTCGTATAATTTTGCCAATATACATTTGGATGACGTTGAGATAATCTCGTGAGTATGACGTATGATGAATACAGGCGAGTAAATTTAATTGCCAAGAATAAAAAAAAAATTGTCAGACACAAGATGATGACAAAATAAAATACATAATGTGGCTTCTTTGCCATTCACATGATCAATAGCTCACTTCCGCGCCAACTATATACGGTCAGTGCGAGTGAAAAATACTTCCCCCCTTTAAAAAAAAGGACACACAGGTTATATATATCACAGAGACAGATCTCGGAAGCAGGAAAACCCAAAACACAAGGGTGAGCCTATCGTCTTTGCGTAACTGGTCGACTCTGGCGACAACAATCAAAATGTGTTCGAGGGCGGGTGATGGCAGCAATGATGATGACGATGCGGTGTGGATGACGATGATGATTTTGAACCTTAACGTTGAAGAGGATCATCCCTACGAGACCTTCCTGGTGGCGAGGCGGCCGAAGGGGGTAGAAATAGCCTAAGCTACTCTATCCCTTTGAGATGTATTTCTTTCTTGTCTCGATAAACATACTTGAACTTGGCCGAAGAATGGGGCCCCTGGAGACGACGGCGGCGGCTTTGGCAGGAGGGGATGTACACCACACATGCTTCAATGTTAATTAACAATATATCGCTGGTAAAACCACGTCAATACAGGCCAGTGGTTGGACGGAAGCACCGTGGAGAGAGATCATTGAGTCCCAAGTCGTCATTGTGCTGTTATTAAAGAAGTTTTCTTACACATGCACATTAGGCTATGTATATATATATACATATTATTGGTGGTTAACTAATGGAATGAAAGTAATAACTCACATTCAGAGGAAGTTGTTGAGTAAAGATCCTATAGATAGGGAGACAAGGAAACGGCTAAAATAAAATCAGCCTTTCTATCATGTGAGATGTCACATAAGGTATTTCCCCCATTGCAAGCAGCTCCTTAAGTTACAGATAAGCAGTTAAGTTCCATTCACAGAGGGAAAATGATATTACAGTTATCTTCAAATACTCTATATGAACAGTTCATGAACGTTCAACAGGAGGCGCGAGGCTCTCAGGCGGGCGGCGTTGGGCAGTCTGGAAAAAGAGAACCACTCATCAGTAACATCTAATAGCCTAGCTAAAAATTTAGCTATACAAACAAAAAATACTCACCGTATGGGGGGGGGCGAACTAGTAGGTATTTAATCTAAGCGTACATACTAAGCGTACAGTGTAAACGCTTAGTATGAGAATAGGAAATATATAAATATGGAACAACACCTACAGGGTTATAAACCCGTGGAACCGCCTACCTGCCGAAGCCGTAAATGCTAAAACGGTGTTAGGTTTCAAAATCTACCTGGCAAATGGGAGGGGGGCCATCGACAAGCCGCCAGCTTTCTGTCCTCGTTGAGGCCACTAGTGTTATTAACCCGCAGGTGAATCAGGTTTAAAGACCTAAGATGGCGCATATTAGACCTAAGATGGCGCATATTAGACCTAAGATGGCGCATATTAGACCTACAATGGCGTATATTAGATCTAAGATGGCGGATATTAGACCTAAGATGGCGGATATTAGACTCAGAATTACGTTTTAGGCCTAGGACGGGTTAACAAACTGGAAGGTTAGACAAAGAAGTCGCCACTAGAGTTTATTTCCAATTAAGGTAAAATTACGAGACTTGAGAGAGGAGAGACCACAGGGTCATTACTGCAAGAAAGATGGACATGTACTTGAACTACTAACGATGGAGAATTTGGAAATGGAAATCACACCAGCATTACAATAAACTGAGAAACATACGGAACTTTTAAAAGCCTACATAGGGAATTATTTAAAGTTCAGAAAGCCATACATATTAATAATAATAATAATAATAATAATAATAATAATAATAATAATAATAATAATAATCTTTATTTAGGTAAGGTACATACATAAAGAGATTTACAAAGTTTGTTGGCTTTATAGATAGAGCTAGTACATACAATGCCTAAAGCCACTATTACGCAAAGCGTTTCGGGCAGGAAAAACATTAATGACTACAGCTTAAAACTAATGGGTAAAAAGAAAAGATGTGATGAGTACATATAAAAAATAGAGGTAAAAGAGGG